GAAATGGGCCGGGTTTCTTTAAAAAAATGTTTTTCTTGACTTCTTTCCCGGCGCGTAGCGCTGCCTCGCCAGCATCTCAGTCACTGGCGCCACGGCGCGCAGCGCCAGCTTCTCTGTTGCTAGCGTCGTGAAGCCAGAAAGCTGGCTCTGCGGTGCCAGCTCTTTTTGGCTTCTCCTTTTATTTTTCTTTCTTTGTTTTCTTCTTTTCCACCTTGTTCTTCATTCTTTCTTATCCATCTATGATCATCATCGTCACTCCATTCCAAGCTTCAAATCACTCCATTTTGATTCAATTTGTCTTCCTACAAAACAACATCAAAACACGTATCAAAACGTTCAAAAGTACTCAAGATCAAACTAAAAACTAAGATTTGAGAATGCATATTTAATGAGGTGATTACACTCATCAAATACCCCCAAACTCAGTTCTTCGCTTGTTCTCGGGCAAACACAAAACAACACATAAGAATAGTTAACTAAAACATACATAAAACGTACTAAAACATGACTTCAGATTTCCATTCAGCTGGATAGATTATCTTCATAGCTTAATGTTGAGAGTACGATATCGACTTCATGAGTCATTTCCCAGTTATGGTACCGAAGTTAAATCTCACCTTTTCCATTGCAAAACACGTGCGTGAAAGGGAATTAAGAAAACAACGTCATACATTCATAGGCTTCTTCAATCCCCGCCCTTAAAAGTCAATTATTTCCTTACTCCGCTCGTAGATTCGTACACCCCCAAACTCATTTCCTTTTCACTCCCTTTTCCTTTTTCGAAGTAAGATCTATGGGTTGCTAACACTACTCTTTACTCTCTCTAGTCCGGATAATTGTCACTTAATGTAGTTCAACATATCAATAAATGAGAATTCTCCTTTTTTTTTGACTGCCTCAATCTCCAAGAATCAACTAAGTTACTAGCCTCTCCTCCCCCTATCCCTCCCTCTCCACCCAGAGACGCGATTGCCGGCGTTCCCGTCTCCACCCAGCGACGCTGCTGTGACAGCAGTGTCGCGCACGACTGTTCCCGTCGCGACGCTGCTTTGATTTTGGGTGTGTGGTGGGGAAGAGTTTTAGATCGTTTGTGACGTATTCGCTAGGTGGTTTCGTGTATTTCTCTATTGATGATTCTCTGTCATTTCTTCTTTTCAAAACGGCGTGGCATTGTGTGGTTGTGATTTTGGATCTTTGTTTTACGGTGGTTGTGCAGTGATTTTGTGGTGGTGGTGGTTCTGTGGATCTAATATTTTGGTGGTGATTGGGATGTTGGTTGTGGGGGTGGCGGCATATTGTTGGTGAGTGAAAATAGTAATGGGGGTAAAGAGACGGTAATTAAGGTGGCTGAAGAGGCGGCAGCCTTGGCG